CCTTATTGATTCTCTCTTCGTTCATTTGAAACATCTTCACTGGGAGTTTAACTCGGATTTTTCCATTAAATCCATCGATAAATCGCTTGAGATTTCATCCAGCTCAGACTCACACAGGTCTCCGCTCCTGATCGATGGCCCTGCGCCAGAATACTGATCCCTATCGACCAATGAAACCGTGTACTCACAGCGTTTACGATCAATGGGTGGGGGGTTAAAAATGTAGTAGATCCTGATAACGACCACTGATGGTGACAAAAATACAAACATCCCCCCTTCTTCTACTCGACAGTAAAATCATTCATTTATTTTCATTAAAACTGTGTGTGTGTGTGTGTGCACGCACATGCATATGTGTGTGTGTGTGTGTGTGTGTGTGCACACATGCATATGTGTGTGTGTGTGTGTGCACACATGCATATGTGTGTGTGTGTGTTTGCACACATGCATGTGTGTGTGTGTGTGTGTGTGTGCACACATGCATATGTGTGTGTGTGTGTGTGTGTGTGTGCACACATGCATATGTGTGTGTTTGTGTGTATGTGTGTGTGCACGCGCACATATATATGTGTGTGTGTGCACACATGCATTTGTGTGTGTGTGTGTGTGTGTGTGTGTGCACGCATGCATTTGTGTGTGTGTGTGTGTGTGTGCGTGCACACATATATATGTGTGTTTGTGTGTGCACACATGCATTTGTGTGTGTGTGTGCGCGCGCACATGCATATGTGTGTGTGTGTGAGTGTGCGCACGGGTGTGTGTATGTGTGTGTGCACGCATGCATATGTGTGTGTGTGTGCATGCATGCATATGTGTGTGTGTGTGTGTGCGTACACGCATGCATATGTGTGTGTGTGTGTGTGTGCGTACACGCATGCATATGTGTGTGTGTGTGTGTGTGTGTGTGTGTGTGTGTGTGTGTGTGTGTGTGTGTGTGTGCAGGTTTAATTACACTCCCGTGGAGCTGAATTGCCATTCAAAGGTGTGTCTGACACTACAATTAATATTCAGCATCAGTTCTGTCCGTTATTTTCCTTTGTGCTGTGAGTGGAATCGTGCACGAGAAGCATTCAGAATCAGAAGCACGTTTGTTTCTGTGGAGCTCCACAAAGATGTCACAATAAGAATCACAACTGATTCACGCCTCCTCTCCCCAGGCTTCCCCTCGCTGTCTTTAGCAGACCAGATGAGTCTCCTGCAGAGCGGCTGGATGGAGATTCTCATCCTCCGAGTGGTGTTCCGCTCGCTGGCCTTAGAGGACAAGCTGGTGTACGCGGAGGACTACATCATGGACGAGGAGCAGTCCAAGCTGGCGGGGCTCTTTGACCTCAACAACGCCATCCTGCAGCTGGTGAAGAAGTACAAAAGCATGAGCCTGGAAAAGGAGGAGTTTGTGGTCCTTAAAGCTATTGCTCTTGCAAACTCAGGTACTAAGATTACATTTTATTTTCCATTTTTCTCAAGTTTAACATATTATAGTGTTTTTCTAAGTCCATCTCTGGATCCTTTAGACTCCATGCAAATCGAGGACTCAGAGGGAGTCCAGAGGCTCCAGGACGTCCTACACGGATCCCTGCAGGATTACGAGACCGCCCACCACCCGGAGGATTCCCGGCGTGCAGGAAAACTGATCATGACCCTCCCTCTCCTGCGTCAGACGGCCGCCCGAGCCGTGCAGCACTTCTGCAGTATCAAACAGGACGGCCGCGTGCCCATGCACAAACTATTCCTCGAACTCCTCGAGGCAAAAGCCTGAAAGGGAACAGAGATTTCTTTGTTGGCTGCGTCACGACCTGAGAGGTCAACATACGAGGAAGCGGAGGGGGTTATGGGTAATACTGTGGCTGTGACTCTGTGTATCGGTCCACTTTTAGTTCGATTTTGACAAATAAAAGTCTTGAATTTGCCGTCTCTGGGAGCATATCGCCTGGAGGACTCTTAAGAGATGAGGCCCCGCCTACTTCCTGTGAGTTTAAACCAGGAAAATAAAAGCTTCTGACAGACAGTTTAAGAGGAAGAGCCGCCTTCTACAGATATTTAGTTACATGCCAAACAGGATTTCATTTTTCATAAGAAAAACACCTGATACTTGAAGATCCCTGCGGATGAAGCCTGTAAAATCTGCATTCTAGTGTGTAAACATAAACTGTTAGTCTTGCCAAAGAGTAGAAACCGATATTAAGATGAAATTATACCAGCAGACGTTTAAACTCTGATTGTGTGTTACATCTACTCTGTATTTATTAAAGGAGGCGATCAGCGTCTAACCTCCTGCTTCTAACACACTATTTCAGGGAAAGAGGACTTAACGTTATGATGAAACTCAGCTAAGACTATTTATTTAAACGTGGCTCTGCTCAGCTGGCCTCTTTTGTGTTTAAATGCGTTGGATTCTTTTTTTTATTTTAAATATTTGTAAGTGATGTGAGATATGTTTCCAGCTTCTCTGCTCCAGCACCACCGTGTGGAAGATGGCGTACACGTGGAGGATCACTTCGCTGTAGAAAATGACTTTTATGTAAGTCCTGAACAACAGAGGGCGCTCCGTGTGTTTTCTGTCATAGCGTTCAATGTGTAGGATCAAATTTGTGCACTAATTATTTTCTTCTAGCCATAAAGTTTTGGGGACTCCGGTGACGGCGCTCTGTCTGTTAGCGTGTGTTTGTGTGATGAGTCTGAAGGTTTTTTTTTTGTCTTTTGAAGGAATTAAACTAGGATTTGTTTTCGGTAAAATATATATATAATAAAGGGTTCAAGTGTGGCTCCCTGTGGCACTAAAGTGTGCACGTACTTTCTGACAAGATGAAGCAGCAAAACCAGATTTTGGATGTAAGATTTGCCATGTCCTGATCATGCTAACGGAGGTCTAGATGAGCTGTGCTGTTTCACTCTCAGGTGGATTCTTGGGCAATAAAGACGATCCCCTTAATGCAAAACTCATATTATCTGAGTGTCTTCTTCCTCAATAAAGCCAAGGTGGCTATGAAGGGGATTCATTAAGAGCTGGTAAGTGGGTGCAGTCTATTCTGCTCAGCCTGACAATGGACTGTTACTTCCATGTGAGGTCCATTATGGCACATTTAGGCCATCCAAGCCCAGTTGGATGGAGATTTATAATTAACAGCCAGCAGTAATGAAGTCTAACAGTGGCCCTAGAGAGAGGTGGTCATCAGCTGCCTGTTGAGCCTAATGGAAGCAGAGGCATCCCACTCATCGCTGTGTCACACAGCCGTCCTGAGATAAACAACCCCCCTCTTCTAATACACTATTTATAGAAGACTCAACGTCACCTTTTAGTTAAAGGCTGCACACACAAAAAAACACCTTTAGGACGTTAAGGAAATGTTTGGAAGCAATTAATCTAAAAACATTATTTTGTAGCACACCTTAAAAAATGCAATAAAAAAAATTTGGAAAAAAAAGGGAAAAAATGAGAAAAAAAGGGAAAAAAGAAAAAAGGAGAAAAAAAGAAGAAAAAAGAGGAAAAAAGGGGAACAATGAAAATAAATAAATAAAAATAAAAATGCAATTTTTATTCAGCTTAATACTTTGTTGATGGAATTTGTTAGCGAAGGCAGCTATTGATGCTAAATGTCCCCAAGGGAACAATAGAGATAGAGTAAAATGCTTTATTTATCCTGAGAGAAATGACTTTGTCCTCAGCAAAGGGAACAGGGCAGATGGGATCATTAGAAAACAAAACAGGTCGGTTCAGTTTAATAATAAAAAATAACAATTACTGTCTAATATTAAAATTTCAGCATTCATTAGCTTTCTTCTATAAAATAGTAATGTGTGAAAGACATGAGATGTTTAAGAAAAGCAACAAGAACCAAGATCGAAAGAAATGTAAAAGTTGCTGCAAGTGGCTCATTAAGGTAACCATGGTAACCGCATGAGATAAACATACTCAAATACTCAACTTGATGATAAAATGTAAAAACTCACTCACATGAACAGAAGAAAAATAGAACAATATTAGAATTTATACAAGCAGTAAGTAAAATTAGGTTGAGAATATTCTAGAAATTATTATATTCTGTAAAATTCTGGGAAGATTAGGTAGCTCAATCTTTAGTGCGTGAGATACTTTAACTCATTAACTGCCAGCCGTTTCCTGGTCAGAAAAGCCTCTCACTGCCAGCGATTTTTTTGGGTGTTTTTGTACGGTTACAGAACGTCGCACTCTATGATGATGTCAACATCAAATATACCCGAACAAAGAGTAAGCTCACCTCTTACATCAGGAAGAATCCGCGTGTTTCTAGTGATACCTGCTCTTTCAGAATCCGTTGTCGAATTGTGATCGGCAGAAGCTTTTCCGGTTCGCACCTCACTTTTTTCGCAGCAGCGGCCCAAAACGATCTCCTAACACATGGATGTTCTGCTTCCTGATCACATGACCTGTGACATACACGGAGGGAGATCAGCTTTAGAGCTGTGATGCTTGTTCTCACAGTGCAAGGGTTCTTTCCGACGCCCGCCCAGTAAAAAAAATACAAATGAAGACTTTAGTCGTCAATGGCAGCGAGCGGTTGGATTTAAAATGACGACATTAAACTCATAAACAGTAAAACTATTAAACTACTGTACAAATAGCTATATTTCTCCATATCATGTGATGCAATGCAGCCAAAGATCAAAGCATGCTTTTTCAAATCAATCTGCACATTTGAATGACTTTGTGTTTGATGAATCAGCAGGAGAAGAGGCAGACCAAATTTCAAGATTGAAGCAGAAATTTTTGGGAGAATACTTGGCCATATGTAGCATGTGGTGTTAATGAGAGAGGCAATTTTTAGCCGTCAATATCCTGGCACACACACACACACATGCACACATGTTGCAGAAGGAACTGGCCACCGGCTCTACCAGCCTATAGAGACTGTGTTAACAGACAACAGGTCCGTCACCTAAACGTATCCCAACAACAAAAAATGTCAGACTGCAAACAAAACATGTACAATTTGCAGACAAAATGGAAGATTCCATTCGTTACACTGGGCAGCCCAGCTCTGGCTTTGTTTCCTATGTTGCTGCTCCAAGCTGAGAACATGGAATTTGTGCACAAGGAGGGGAGCGAGACATTCGGTGGTGCAGTTTGTTAAATGGATCAGGATCTAGTCATTAAGAACAGGAGTTTTCAGTGACTGGATAACGTTTTCTCAGGATTGTATATTTTGGAGACTATTAAAATGATTCAATTTTGAATAAACACGTAATGATTGGTTGCTATCGGTATGGGACGAGCATTTCAAGCAAAGAATCTGAAGAAACATGTTCAACCCCACCATTAAATATATAAAAGAATGGTTAATTGTTTCATATTTTATGTACATATGCATAGAAAAACATTCAAATTCATTCAAACTGAATTCTCATTAATTTAATCAGCAACATGTTAAAAAAGATAAATGAGAAGGGAGAGGTCTTTGCTTTCCAGTTGGACTTGAGTCAATAGAAAAATCCAAATCCAAATGAGTCTATTTGCCCCATTTGTTTCTGTCAACAGAAGCCAAAACATGTCCTAATTTATCTGTGGTTAAAACTCACACACGGCACCGAGGGATTTGGACCAGGCTGGAGACTTTTCACCACATCAGCTGTCAGTGAGTGAGTTAGTGGTGGTGAGTGACGTATCCTTGTGTGTCCCCTCTCCTTAAATGAGTTAGTATGTGTCTGGCGGCTGTGTTGCCCAGACGCGGCGTTGATGGATGAGGCCCGGAGGAGATGGGCTGTAAAAAAGGCCGATTCTGGCACTCAAGGGTGAGATCACTTCCTCAATAAAAACGCATTGTCCCGAATCATCGCAGCAAGGTGTGAATGCTGATTAGGGTATTAGATGGAGGAGAGCTCCTCTGTAAAAATAAATCAAATGTGCTGAGACTTCATGTGTGTGTGTGTGTGTGTGTGCGTGCATTTGTGTGTGTGGTACTACCGTCTCAGGCTGTGGTTACAGATTCAAACAATCACTTTAGTTTTTTTATGTTGTTTTACCGGTTTTGTTGCCGGCAGTTTCTCTTTAATGAGTTTCCTCACGGGGGCCAAATTTTGAACGTGATCTGGTTCCTGAGGAGACAAATGATCAGAGGTGTGTGGATTTTTTCTCTTTTTTTTGCTGGTAAAAAGACCATAAAATAAAAATCTACCACTCGTCATCAAACAACCCACTCTCCCCTCATCAACAAGTCTGTTTCTGTCTCCGTTTCGTCTCACAGCTGAAGCTCGGTTAGAATTAGACGTTGCATACATCCTCCTGAAACGTTAGGGCAGAGCCGTGTCCAGGACTTTTAAAATGGGGTGGCCCATGTGGAGGAGCACTTGTTTATTCATGGGTGGCACCAGTGGTTATGCTTATTTATTTATTTACACAAATCGTTTATTTATTTGTTTACTTTCTAGTGAATTTTTGAGTTTCACATTGCATGTTGTGGTGGTTAGCAAGTCACTTCTTGTTGCATTACTGCCACCAACTGGAGTTGAGTGGGACTCTACATACTATGTATGTGAATATGAAAATATATTAATATTAATATTACATGCCTGGGCTAGAAAACAAGGTGAAAGGTGCATGCTACCACACACTATTTTGGAGTTAACAACCCAAGCCTTTTGTCGACAATGTAAAGTCAATTTAAACCGGAACTTAGTGTGGTGGCACCTGGGGTGGCCAGTCAGATTCTAAGGGTGGCATGTGCTACCCCAGGCCACTCCCTGGACACGCCCCTGCGTTAGGGTCACATTTCAGCTTTTTGGAGTAAAACGGGTCTTAAACAAGTGAGAGAGTGGGTCGAATGAAGATGCTGCTCAGTCCTCAGAGGACAGATGGCTGCTTCACTTCAGATGACGGAGCGGCTTCTTACTGACTCATGTGAACCTGTGTGGAGGAGTAAAACTTGTTTTTTAGGGCTACAGTGAAATATTAGTTGGGATTAGAGCCAATGCAGCTTCGGAGCTTCAAACAACAAGCTGCTGTTTGGCGCCATCATGTGGTGATTCTGAATATGAAGCAGCATCTGTCGATAAATGCTTTTGGGGACTTTGTAAACAATTCTAGACACACCTGATTGGAGGATTAGGTTGATAGTTTGTCCATGTGTACATGTGAAGAACACACACACACACACACACACACACACACACACACACACACACACACACACACACACACACACACACACACTGAGGAGTATCAGTGGGGTGATATCCTACAACCAGGTGAGCTGAAAGCGGACACCGTTACCATGACACTGGCCAGGAAAAGCAAAGGCTTATGGGAGTTTTAGAGGAACACACATGCAGTTCAGCTCTGGTGTCTCTTATTTAGAAACAATCGAGCCCAGACAAGAAATAATACCTTTGATTTTTGATTTTTCTTTTGAGCAGCAGGTTTAAATGTAAAAGTGTCAAGTATGTGTAGGGTTTTGACCTGATCCATGTCTCAGTCACTACAGGCTGAACCACGGACCTCAGCACTGGTGAGTTCTCTCCTCCTTCAGCAGCAACATTAAACTCATCGTCATGCAACTAACTGGTGTTGCTTTCAGGAACCTGACAAAAAACTGTAAAATCAACTGAGTGGGCTCTATCCAAATGGGACTAAAATATATTTTATAAAAGACGACTGAGCGTAGAGAATTTCTGATGCCTGAATGAGGTCGTTGCTATCAAGTACGTCTCCTGTTACGCTTTTACTTCCTCCTTGATGCACGTGTGATCGGCTTTCGTTCTCTTGTGATGTAAATGTAAAACAAGAAAAGGCAGTTTTATGTCTCTGCTCAGGGTGAAACAGATGGGTTTGGAGTGGATAGCAGAGGGACAGAGGGCCTTTTTATGAAATGCTTTGTGTCCAGGGGTGCAAACAAATTTTTTTCCAAGGGGACACTAAATGGGGGGCTACTGATAAATAACCTTTGGGTGGTACATAAAAATCAGCAGCCATAACAGATTTTTACAGTTGTAATATTGCGGTTGTATGATATTTTTAAACTACTTTAAGAGAAATTCAGGCAAAACACAAATGAAATTTTAAGTTGATGTGCCCTTTTTAGCATCTTTGCACTATTTTAGGTTTGTTAGTTTCTTTTATTCATATTGTTTACTTTTGTGCATTTTGGATTGATTTTGTTATTTCAAGTAATTTCTGACCTTTGTTTCCATTCTTAATATTACACAAAATAGCACAGTTTGTTGTCTTAACATTTTCACTGACAAGTTGGGCTCTGACTGGCGCCTTCCTCAGAAAAACAATGGACATAAAGCAACACAGAAATAACGTAAAAAAGATATTCAAATCATTTCTAACCTGTTGGTAACTTTTTAAGCAATTTTAAATGCCACTATAAACAATCTCTACTTTGGTTTTAGTCATTTTGACATTTTTGCTTCTGTTAGGGATTTTATCAATGTATTTTATCAATAAACCCATTTCCTGTAGTCGAAGAGAAAAGGAGAGACGCGGTGAAGCAGACGTACAACCAAATTGTAATTTGTGGCAAGAGCACGAGACAAGTGCCCCAAAGTTCTGCTCACAGAGTTTATTTATTACAAAAGATAAGAAAGGAATGGGAGTGAGGTCATGTGTGAGAGAGTGTGTGTGTGTGTGTGTGTATGGGAAGTTACAAGGTAACAAGAATGTGTGTGTGTGTGTGTGTGTGTGTGTGCTTCCAGGATATTGTTAATAGAATTAATGATCAAGAAATAGAACATAAAAATTCTATAACAGCTTCTATTAGCAAAAAAGTTTGCAATCGATTTTTAATAGTTGAAAGTAAAAAACCAGAGGGGGTCAAACTCCTTCAGGGCTAAACAGGACGGAGTCTTGCTGGGGAAATTTCCTGCTCTTTGCAGATGATGTGATTCTGTAGGCGTCTTCATTCTATGACCTTCAGCATGCACTGAGGTCGGATCCTGGATGCAAGCAGCCAAAACGAGCCGTCACCACGAGGAGGTCAGAGCAGAGCTGCTGCTCATCATCAAAGGTGTTTCATTCATCCATCAGCCATTCTTTAGACGTTTTCCTGGCAAATCTCACTTGGAGTAGACCTCGGAGCAGAACTGACCCGGGAACACCTTGGCACCCCCCCCAGATGGAGCTGGATCTGCTACCTCTGTGGTGTAAAAATGACATAACTCTTCTCTCCAGATTCACAGAAACCCCCTCCTCCTGCAGGAGGAGGTGGTGATGATCGGACAGATGGAGGCCTAAGAAACCATCAGGTGGTCAAGGAGCTGTGGTTCATTGTGGTGATGACAGCCATCGCCCTGCTGCTGCTGGCTGTGATGTTAGCAGTCATGCTTCACAGGGTAGGAGACACCGTTCCATCAGCAAACAGCTGCAGGAACAAAACTCCAAACCTTATTTTTCTTCATGTTCCTCTAGGCTCTTAACAAGCCCCCCTTGACCAGGGAGAGACCTCCTCTGGTGGCCCTCCCCATGCAGAAGCGGAGCCCCATGGCTGTCTATCCACCCAGCAACTCTGTCTTGGTGAGCTTTATTTCTTGGTCTTTATGTTCTGATTGGCAAGAAAAAAGTAGAAACTCGTGCAATCAGGAATATTTTTCTCCACGAGTCTGAAAAAGTATCGTGTTACTTTTAAACCATAGCTTTGTTCTACGTGAGTCCAAAAATGACAAAAGTACAGGTCTCTGACATTTCTTGGCATATTTTTGGGATATTGTCGCTAATCTTCTTGGCCTGGTTTCCTATAGCTGATTTTTATCTAACTGAACCTTTTTGACCAAGCATGAGATTCCACCTTAAAAACATCCCTCTTCATTTAAGTTCGACACGGTTCCCGACACAACGGGCTTCTCCAGCAGCGTGACCCTGAAGGGCTTCTCCATGAAGATTGAAGCAAGTTCAATCAATCAAAACAACTTTTCTTTTCCGGCTCTGCATGTTAGTAAAATGAAGTCTTTGTGTGTCCCAGCAGGAAGTTTTAGAAACTAAATGTGAGCCCCTGGATGAGGAGCCTTCACAGGACGAACTGGGCGTGCTCAGTGCGAGCTCTCTGAGACGCAGCGTCAGCCAGGTGATGGACGGGAAGTCCTTCACGGGAGAGGACGACATATGGGACCCGAACATCTCGGGTCACGACAGCGGGATGGTGAGCTGAACCTCTGAAATATTTTGAAAAATGGTTTTCTGTGGAGAGGTTATAAATGTCCGACCTAAATAACTTTTTGATTGACCTCAGTTTGGAGAAATGCAGATCAGTTCTAAGCCGACTAACTTCCAATTTTAGTTTCCAAGGATGTTGTGCTAAAATATGACCTAACCTGTTACTCTCTTTTAGTTTATGGACGATGAGGAATTTGTCGACACCATCAAAGGTTTCAGCACCGTGAGGAAGGAGCACACCATGTTCACCGACACTAACCTTTGACCCTGACAGGACTCGAGGCCTGGATGTTTAACATCCTGATCAGCCAGGGCAGTGGGTAGAAAAGGAGCCACAGCTGAGGAAACCATTGGAGGAGCCACACACGACTGGGAAAACTAGGATGACTGTGATGGGAAAGAGGAAAATTTATGAATACTGATACGCCGACACAACTGGAAGAAAGTTTTTATTACTTTTAGGAAGCAACTCAAGAAATGTTATTAAAATGGTTTTAAAGGAGTAAATTAAATCAAATACACTTTTTGTTCACATCTGCTCTGGTGTGTCCGTTAAAAAAACGTACATTTTCTAATCCGACATCTCTGAATTTTACGTGTGTTCAGATGCCGTTGGTCCAGGAGTGTGAAGCCCGGGAATCTGGAGCCAAATATATTTTCCACATTGAGTTTTGAAAACTGCATAATTTACTTTGATAGCGGAAATATTTTTCCTGTGGTTTGCTTGGTGCATTATTTATATAGCTAGGTAATAAACGGGACTAATCTGGCTTTCAGCGGCTTTAGATTTAGGGGTGTGTAAGAATCTGGCAGCCCGATTTGTATCACTTGTAATCTGTTACACTGATCTTATTTTGAAAAGTCCTCTAAGACACATCCTGTGCGAGATCTCGTCCCATCAAATCTGCTGCCACCTAGCAGTCTGGGTGTGAATCTAACCACACAAAAGAAATGCAGTAAATGTTTGCAGGTAAATGCTAAATGAAAATCCAATCACTGCTTTTAAATATCGATACAGTATGAAAACACCAAATACCACGATATGTCAGCACGCCAATATTTTCTTACGTCTTTAGTAAACAAGGTTTGAAAGAAAAAAAAGAATCGGGAAGTTTTTTAAAAGATAAACATTGGAGGAGTTCCTCTTGGAGGATGCTTCGGTCCCATTCACGGCTGTTCTGTAGCTGAACTGAACTCGAACTTTATTTCGAATGCGTTTTTCAGGCACGGGGTGACAACAAAGTGCTGTACAGAGAAACAATAAAAATAACAGAATGGGAATTAAAAACAAGAATAAAAGAAAAGTTAAACAACATACAAATAAAAAATAAAAACAGACTAACGGTCCAAGGTAAATATGTCTTACTAACTCCGAAAGTGAAGCCCATACAAAGCAGTGTAACTCATTCCAGAGTTTTGAGCCTGCCACAGAGAACGCCCTGCCTCCTTGTGTCTTAGGACTGAGAGCAAAAGACAAGTCTGAGCGAAGTGCCCGTGCCGGGGTATAGGACTGTATCAGTGTCCGCAGGTACGATGGAGCCAACCCATGAAATTCTGAAATGCACAGGCAGCCAGTGCAAGGACGTCGAGACTGGAGAAGCACGGTCATATTTATTTTTGTCCACTGGAAAATTTGCAGCCGCATTTTGCACCAATTGTAGTCTTGCTGGAGTTGCCCTGCTCATCCCAAATAGGATGGAGTCGCAGTAGTCAATTCGATCTGTAATAAAAGCACGAACTACTGTCTCCAAGTCGTGTCTTGTCAGGAATGGTTTTGTTTTAGCTTTACAACGCAGATTATAAAAAGAAGACACAATTCTATTTACATGGGCATCAAAGCCCGGGGCATTATCAAGTTTGACTCCAAGCTTCCCAATAGCTGTTTCTACCCTGGAATTCACGGTCTACAATCATACGAGGCGGCCGATGCGGCCATTAGGTCGGAATAGGACTACCTGTCTTGTCCTCACTGAGGCACAAAACATTTGCCAGCAACCACCTCTCAACCTTGGACAGGCGGTCCATCAGGTTATCCATAGAACTACCATGTTCACCATTTAGGGGGAGACACAGTTGGCAATCAGCAAAAAAAATGAAAGCTAATTCCAAAGCAAAGTTGACTGTTAGCATGATGATAGCCACACCCTCTCTTCTGCAGACGAACCTTTATCCAGATGGATCATCAATCAGAAAATGTGACTTTTACCCAAGTCCTCCGCTGATGCTGCTCTTAGAGAAGCGGCTTCTTTGCTGCCCTTCTTGACAAAATAATATAAATTAAAAAAACGTTTACCTCAAATTAGGGAAATACAAACACTTCAGACAAAAAAAGAACCTTTCAATGTATTTGAGAATTATTCGTATTAATTAATGCTGCTCTAACTAAAACATCCACAAAACTGTTGAGATTTATACTTTTTAAAATGTTGAGCAGCAGCAAAATTAAAAATATGATTTAATTATGATTTTACTCCCAATTTAACCACTGGGTTTTACATTTATGTTGATTAAAGACCAACATGTAGTTTGTGTGAAAACAAATGCGATTAACCCTTAAAGAGCTATAGGGTAAGGCGATCCTGGTACTCACTTATAAACTTCTTTACAAATGAAGCAGAAATGTGCGTTTTGTGGACTAAGTTCATTTTCCAAGACAAAAAGAGACTTTCTAAATAATTATAAATGATCTGACTACTAGTCTGAACTAGGGGCTGCATGACTTAATTTTTTTTAATGTCGACAGTCAAGTAATGAAAATCGAGTCGACTTCGACTAGTCGTTGATGACGTCATACACCTGAAGCGGCACGGGGGGGTCGGTATGTTCGCTGGAGTTTTTGACAATTAAAATTGCGCCCACATTTTCAAAGTTAAACACATTTCTTTTAACAACGTTAGTTTCTGCTTCAGCCCTCTCCCCCCTCCCCCTGCTTCAGCCCTCTCCCCCCTCCCCCTGCACAGCGGCCGCAAACTCACTGATGCGCCTGCAGCCTCTCGGAGTTCCTGCTGCTCTAAACATTAAAATAATTATTTCATTTTCTGTTCCTCACTTCTGATTACCTTCAATGGTGTCTGTTTGTTGCAACCAGCAGGTACAAATACTAACTTGTTTTTATTTGACTGTTTTTCTGTCCTGTCTGTTTATTATCTTCCTGCATCTCCTCTCAATCCTAAAGAGAAACTGCTACCTGCCTTCATATATATTCACCTCATGAGTTACCTTTGAACTGCAGTTCTAAAAGATCTACCGACCGCTAAAACAGCGGAGTGCCGCTGCTTCGCCGGCCGACTACAACGGGACCGTTTTTGCTGCGGAGTTCGTGCCGGAGCGGAGTGGAGATAGTGGAATTTTGGGGGTGTGTCACCGGAGGATAAAACAGGTGATGCGCCTCGCTCCGCAGCAGCGAAACGCATCAGGCACAAATAACAGACAGAAAACATTAAAGGAAATGAGCCGACATGAACGATCGCGTTTAATTTGTTTTTGAGGTGGTGACACCTGATTTGGCAGTGCTCAGGACGCAGATGTCTGGAGCGCACGTCAATGATCAGAGCTTTGCATGCGCAAGCTGGTTAAGATTAGGATGGGGGTGAGGGGAAGGTTAAATTGCAAGAGGGAAAAGGTCACAGTTTGGTTAAATGTCCGTTTTACGGCGGGTGTCAGTACCGACGCTCTGGCACAGCGCGTTGCCTCCACCTCCCGACGCGCAGGGGCTCATCACCTGCTGTCTTTTCCGAGGACTGCATCTTGTCAGTCATTATCACGTGACACCGACTAGTCGATGACAGGCATAAAAAGTCACTACAGAGCCGTGAAGTCGACTAGTCGACTAGTTCATACAACCCCTATTCTGAACCTTATGGAGTTTATAAAATTTCATGAGGATTAATATTTGACTCATTCCACATTCTGTAGCGACCAGGAAACATGTTTACGTTCAGACATGCGTCAAAAAATAAGTGAAAACAAACATACATCTTTTGACATCTTTTAATTTGAAATGATTTGCAATGCATTGTGGGCACAGTCCATTTGTACCATTACAGTCATGAAACATGGTTACAAAACAAACATTCATTTAATAAATTATTACACTGCAGTACCACGTGAGACAGTAAACATAGAAACCCCAGCTAGGGAGGCCATATTGCATTAAGAACATGAGTTTATTCAAATGTACAAAAACTAAAATCAGGCATTTACAAAGGCAGCCTCTTGTATTTTTTGTTCTACAAATATAAATCTCTAAATCGATATGTTTGCTTGTTAAAAGAACCCAGATGAAGTTCTGGGCTGAGATCCTTCTTTGACCTCGGTGCGGAGTTCATTTACAAAATAAAAACACAATAAAAATAAAAAAACACCGATGTTTCGCAAACCAACTTCACTTAAGTACCGGATCCACCAGATTTGTACAAACAGAGGCTTTCTCAAACCCTACAAGAATTTTAATTCCCCTTTCACTTCTTCTGCACGACGCACTCACTCCCTTTAGTGTGATATCGATGCATGTAAACATAAAAATACACGGAACATTGAAATGTGCTTGCAGCAGTAAAGTGCATGCAGAACATGCTGGGTTGAAAATGTTTTCATGGCTGGCATCTGTAGAAACACGTCACACACAAACTGGTAGCACTGTGAGCTTTAGCTTCACTACAATAATCATAATCAACACAAACGTTAGATTTTAGTGACCTACTGTGCAATCTACCTCCACATCCGCCCTCTGAGTCTCTCACCGCCATCTGGACTGAGTGAACCACAGCCTCTACTAAGTTTACTGACATGAACCACAGCACCGTCTCCGTATCCCAACATGATCTAAAACACAGACGACAGTACCTGAGAGGTAACCTAGACCCGATCAGGTGAGACACAGCAGGTGATCTGGACTTGAATGCTCTGACTGACCAATAGGACACTGTGTGTGTGAGTGTGTGTGTGATGGAGGAGGAGGAGGTAGGTGGGTGGGGGGGTATTCCAGTGATTTATTTTTCCTGCAAGATTTATAATAGGAAGTTTTTACTTTATATTACCGTTCCTGTTACTTTACATGTAATTATTGGGTATTAAATATTGAATAAGCATTTAAATATAAAATACATTATATTTTATTTAATGGCTTGATGACATTGGTATGATGAAATAATCTGAATATTTAACAAAATGTAAATTATAATCTACAATAGCTGCTAATAGCTCTTGCTGGGTAGGTTCGCGGCCGAGTGTGAAGCGGCTGGGATGAGGATCAGCACCTCCAAATCTGAGACCATGGTTCTCGACCGGAAAAGGGTGGCTTGCCAACTCCGGGTCGGGGGAGTGGTCCTACCTCAAGTGGAGGAGTTTAAGTATCTCGGGGTCTTGTTCACGAGTGAGGGTAGGAG